GACGAAGTCGCGGCGGTCGGCGTGGCGGCGGTCGGGGAGGAGAAGAAGTGGCGGTCGCGGATGGGAGGAGGAGGAGGGTTTCGGGCGGAGAGAGAGAGAGAGAGAAAAGAAATGGGAGGGGAGAGGATCCGATCTGGATAAAGTGCACACAAACACGGATTCTCAGAATCCGTGTTTACTGGTCAACGCGAAACACGGATTATGAGAATCCGTGTTACCTGTTTGACTGGTAAACACAGATTCTGAGAATCCGTGTTAAATAAAAAAAAAATTATTTTTTTGGACAAATTTGACTACAATTGTACTAATTCGAGTTCGATTTCATTAATTCGAGTTCAATTTCACTATAATTGACTTTAATTGTACTAATTCGAGTTCGATTTCACTAATTCGATCTCGATTTCACTATAATTGACTTTAATTGTACTAATTCGAGTTCAATTGTACTAATTCGAGTTCGATTTCACTAATTCGATCTCGATTTCACTATAATTGACTGTAATTGTACTAATTCGAGTTCAGGCTTCGAGATGATCCTCTCCCAATGCGGAATCAAATTCCATCCCACCTGCGGCCACGTGTCAGGATTTCCAATTGGAGTAAAATTCCAATTAGAAAATTGATTAACCCAGTTCTCCGTCCAATAGTAGGATTATACAACGACACCGGTTGATCACCCCGGTGACGACACACTCGAATTGCATGAGAGCATGGTTTTCGATGTGTCTGCCACTTCCTACATGCACAACGCTGCTGCTCATAAAAGACCTTAAACCTATTTTCAACAATGATTTATATATATAAATTAGAAAAAAAATAAACTCATTTGAATGGAAAAAAAAAATATAATTACAAAATACATACTTGTTTTGCCCTCTTCGATTGGCGCGTAGACCGGTTGTCACCATGTACTGGAATCCGTCGGCGTCCACACAATGCACCTCGTGAGTCACCGCCGTCTTTTCCAACTCCCGATAGGCGGCATAGAGGTCGGTAGGAATGGGATTCCTGCATCTTCTGGACTTCTTTTGTTCCTGTTCAAACAAATCCAGAGTCTTGTTCAATGTGGCCTGTACCAACGCTCTGCAGGACAGGAACCTAACACCTTTGAGGACATTGTTGTAACTCTCTAACATATTCGTTGTCATAGTTCCCCATCGACGTCCTCCGTCTTTGTACAGGGTCCACTTTTCAAGAGGAATTTTGAAAAGGTAATCGTATGCGTCCGAGTTACATTGATGGAGTTCCTGTCGACTCTGCTCAAATTTGCGGAGAGAACACAATGAACCCAACCTCCAACACAAACCCCGGACTTGTTTACTCCGGTACCTTGAAAACACGTTGCTCCGGAGGTGTCGAAGGCATATCCAATGAAATGCATGGGGTTCGTGCCAAGTCTCCAGTAATTCAACAGCACTCAATATGCCGTTGTCCCTGTCGGAAAGAAGACATATCGATCTGCCGGGGACGACATGATGGCGCAGATGTGTTAGGAAAAAGGACCAGCTAGCCGTGCTTTCTTCGTCCACAATCGCATACGCGACTGGCAATAGACGCTTATTCGCGGTCTGTGCTATGGCAACAAGCAGCTTCCCCTTGTACGAACCTGCCCAGTTGGACATATGTTTTTTTTTTATGAGACACTATTGTAAATTAGAAAATAAAATATTAATTTGCAATTACCAAGTAGTTTCCCCTTGTACGAACCTCGCAGGTGCGTGCCGTCGATGCTAATAATCGGCGGGCAACGAACGAAGGTTTGAATGGCGGGGCCGAACGCCCAGAAGACAAATCTGAATTCTCTGTCTCGAGATTGCTTCGCCATTTCTCCACCCTGCCATTCGCACTCAACGACTGTACCGGGATTCGCCCTTTGAAGGGCGGCGAAAAACCTGCAAATTATAAAAGGTAACCATAAATAAATAAATATATAAATATATAAATAAATAAATATAGTTAAAAACAACACGTAAATACGTTTATAATTTATTTTTGCTTACTGAGGGAGTTGTGCGAAGTTCGTTTCCCACGTGCCATACAGACGATCAATGGCTTTTTTTCTCCCGTGCCACGCCTTTTTGTAGCTGACATCGACGCCCCAGGCACTTTTTACGTCGGCCTGGACCATTTCCACACTGTAGGTCACCTGCTTCTGAATCTTAGCCAACAAAAGATTTGAGATCATGGTGGCGGTTACATTCTTGTGGTCATTTCTCTCGAACACCTGCATGCAAGTGTGGCTATCGGTCCATTCGGTTACCTCCCACATGCCGTGATCCCGTTTGTTAAGACTCACCCGGGCCTTCCATATACATGGTACAATTTCATCTGATCTGCACACAACTTTAAACGACTTCTTGTTGGAATCTTTTGTCCGGACCGTCCTAAGTTTCTCGACATTCCAGGCATTAATACCAATCCGGGCTTCTTCCTTGGTATGAAAAACTGTACCCAATCGGATAGTCTCGACACGCCCATTCCAGGTTGGCAAGGCATACTCGTCCCTGTCTACACACGACGAGTCCCACTCACCCATCTCGCGATAATCGTAGAGGCCTTCATTTGGAAAGGGGTGTTCTTCAATGAATTCTTGTTCGCTCTCCTCATTAATTGATCTGTCCGATTCGGTTTCCGAGGTCTCATCCGTGAAATCGTCTTCACCGGGAATGAAATCTTCATCTCCAACAATTTCTTCCTCAATGTCCAGTCCTCTCATGGTAAAGCTCGTTCCTTCGCCGAAATTACTCGTCCCTTCACCAAAGGTACCGGCATGCGTAGTCCACGTATCCTCACCACCAAACATTCCCTCGTAACCATATATGATGGCGTAGGATCCTCAACCTGTGTAACCTGTGTGTTTGCTTCCAACACTATATGCAAAAACACATAGGACCCCGGAGGAGAGTAGAAAATCCACGAAAGAGAATTATCATTATGCAGTCTTCTGGTAATAAACGAACCATCCAGTTGTCTCGCCATCAAAGTAATATCCGAAATTGTCCAACTATCACGAAACCCACCATTTTCGTAAATCATATCTACCAATTGTCCATATGATATTATTCCATTAATACAAATGAACAATCCGGACGAGACATATAATTCGAAAAATTCCATAACTCACTCTGGGGAATTTTCCAGTACACATTAACAAAGTATGGACCGTTAGACGACATTTTAACCTGTTGCACAAAAAAAATTTATATTTTACAAATTACAACAACATAAAATGGCTAATCAAACACCACGAGAAAATTTCAATTATTATTTTACCAATCTACATTTAAAATTTCAATTATTTTACCAATCTACATTTAAAATGGCTAATCAAACAACCAAAAAAATTTCAATTATTATTTTACCAATCTACATTTAAAACTCATTTACAACAACAACATATAATTAATTATATTTTTACTCCAACAAAAAAAATAAATTGTCAATTAATTTATAAAAAACACCACAAAAACCTTAATCACCAATCTACATTTAAAATGGCTAATCAAACACCAGAGAAAATTTCAATTATTATTTTATCAATCTACATTTAAAACACATTTCCAACAACAACGTATAATTAATCATATTTTTACTCCAACAAAAAAAAAATTGTCAATTAATTAAGTACAATTGTCAATTAATTTAACAAAAATACCACCAAAACCCTAATCACCATAATCCAACAATAACATTAAATTCATAAACAATTCGGATAAATATTCAACATACAATAAACCAACATTCAAGATTTTCTAAACAATAGCAAATAACAAATTATATCCATTTAACACAACTATAAAACCAACATTCAAAATTTTATAAACAATACTCAATCAACCAAATATATATCTTAAACATTCATAAACAACAAAAAAATAATATTACATTACATTAAAATAAAAATTAACCTCTTCTCCGATGATTGGTTGAAATTTTTTTTTTAATGGAGCTTCAATTCGCCGAAAATCGAACAAAAGACACAAAAATATGTTTGTGGAACAAAATTCGCAGGCGCAGTCGGTCTGGGGGGGTTTGTTGTTGGGGTTATATCAACCTAAAAACGGATTTTGAAAATCCGTTTTTTATCGTTTTTAAGATAAACACGGATTTTCAAAATCCGTTTTAATCGTTTTTTTTTCCCCGCGAAACACGGATTTCCAAAATCCGTGTTATAAATT